TTGAAATAAGTTTTTAAAGTTTTTTTACCATCTATATAGGATAATCTTAGACATAATATGATTTTGGTCCCCCTCACCATTTGAGTTAATTTTTGAAAACTTAAGGTCAACTTTTGCAAATGTTGCTTTTATTCTAATAAATTTATTTATGTCTTTCTTTAATGTATATACCTAATAGCAAAAAAATTATAAAGGTTGAGTTTTTTAACAAAGTTGAAAAGTACAGGATGCCCTATTGTGTATACTGCTTAGAGTGATTTAAAGATTCATAAAGTAGTTTTTGAGAGATCAATAGATGAAACTTGTTTACAATTTTTGTTATCCATGTGGCGTTTCTTACTATATTAATCATTTTCAATAAATTTGTGATTATTTTTAGTTTAGTATTAATCAGATCTGCTTTCTATCAGATTTTTTATGTTTTTGTTATGATTTTGATTTGCTTTTTTTATTAGAAAGTTTAATATTATTAGGTTTTTCTGTAAAGGCAATTAATTTTACATAAAATGTCAATAACACCACAATTAACATAAAATACAATAATTTAAATAAGATTTTACATAAAATGTCAGTAGATCCAGAAAAAAATTTATGTAATAAAAGTGTAACCTCTACTTTGTTGACACAATGGGCATATTTTAGTTCTGCAAAAAAATCAAAAATTATGTTTTAGTTTTTTCATGTAATAATGCAATAATGATAATAATCATTGCAAAAAAAAAAAAAATAAAGGATCATAATTTTTTGAAAAATAGAACATTGTTCTATAAAACCAGAGTATAAATTTTATGGTTGTTTTTTTTTGAATTAGAAAAAGTGACTAGAGTTTTAGTTCAAAAGAAAAAGAAAAAAAAATTAAGGAGAACAGTTTCTCAACAATTGAGAAAAGTTCTAATAATATACAATTAAGAATTTTATTTATATATATATATATATATATATATATATATATATATATATATATATATATATATATATATATATATATATATATATATATATATATATATATATATATATGTTAACTAGAAATAAATTTGATATAGCGCTTTGACGAAATTCAGAATTTGTCACAAAATTTCCCAAATTTTCCCCCTCTTCTCCCCTGAGATTGTGTACCGGAACACTGAGATGTGTACCGAAAAAAATGCACCCCCTCTCCTCCTCCTGAGGTTAAAATGTGTACCTAAAATGTGTGGGATCCTTTTCTTATATTCTTTCTTCTTCACCACTTACATTGATTGGGCAGCACCAAAAATAAAACAAAATACTGCCTGTAACATTTATTGAAGATAAATATGAAATCAACACAAAATTAAAAGTGGTTTCACTACAACAAGGCAAATTGAGCTCTGATTTCCAAAGATATATTCAAAGTTATATATTTTTGTATTATAAAATAATGTGTGTATTAATTAATTATTGATAATATATTTGATTAATATATATATTTGAATAATATATAATAGTATATAATTAATAATATATTTGATTTACTTTTATTCTTAATATCTTGTTGCCACTTTTATGTTAAGACTATTCTTTTAAATATATATATTTTTCACTGGTGGGCATTAAAGGGCGATTTTTAAAGTAATAAAGCGATTTATGTTAAAGAAAATTTCTGCTAATGATCTCCTACTTCTAATTATTATTTAAATTCTGTTTGATGTGCTTTATGGACAAACCCTTACACCATCATTTAATAAATTTTGTCATCAAAAGAAATGTTAAAAATAGAGAAAAAGGTTTTGAAAGTAGTAAATACAAACTTGTAAATTTCATATTTCTTTTTTATTGCGAGTTCAATTTTATAATTAATATTAACTTTCTTTACACATAAATCCCATAGCAAAATAAAGTTACTAAGTCTCAGCAAAAACAAAAGCAATTGTTGTTTAATTACAAAAGAATTACAAAAGATCGCAAGCGATTGCACGTTATCATGGCAGCAAAGAATACCAATAATTATTTCTTCATGGATAGTCATAAAATATTATTATGACTATGGTTTATTAAAACATTAAAATTTGCTTTTACATTTTAAATTCATACAAGCAGTAAAACTAGTTTTCTTGTTCTTTTAAAGTACCAGTTTGTTGTAATAAGAAAAAAACATTCTTGTTATTACAGTAGTCTCTCGCTTAATTACATACCAATTAGTTGCGCATCCCAGTTAATGGCGCGTTTAGGCAAAAAATATTTGTTTCAATTGTTTACTGAGTTTTTTGTTGAAAGTGTAATTAGATCAGAAAAAGTAACTATTATTTTTCTGTGTTAAGTTAAAAATTAGTTTTTATCATAAATATTTTGAGATAATGATTTTATCAGAATGTAAGTAGATAAATAATTTGAATTGGAATCGAAGTAAATGATAAATCTTGTTTTAAACAGATAATAATAAGTTTCAACGATTCAAAAAACTTTAATTAAAAAACTTTTTTTAAATTTAGCCGTCTATTCACAGTTCTCTTATTCCAACTTTTTTATCCTTACTTCTTATGTCTAAAGGCAAAGAAAAAGATTATCAGAAGTTCAATGAGTCGAAATTATAGCTAAACTTAAAAAAAGTTAAAAAGTACGCCAACTAAACGAAGGATTGCAAAAAATTACAATTCGATCTCTCTGGAATCAAGATCAAATAGAAAAAAGAGGTTTAATAATGACAGAAGAAGCTAGAAAAAAAGTGTTTTGTTTTTTGTCTGGAAAACTCTCCGCCAACTCTCCGCGTATATGTCAATGGAAGAAAAATAAAAGCATTGTTAGATACTGGATGCTCCAAATCAATTTTAAGTCGGGATATTGTAAACCCAAAAAATTTCAAACATGCAAGCGAAAAGGTTGTTATGATGAATGGAAAGTCAATTGAAGTACAATACCAGACTGTTGTTAATCTTTCTATAAATGATACGACCATCGATTTGGAATGCCTGGTTGCCAACATTGTTCCCGAATATCAAATGCTACTTTGTATGGACGCAATATGACTGCTCGGAGGTGTCCTAGTTGGGAGAGACAGTGAAACCATAAACTTTAATGTGGAGCAACTAACTATCGGTGCTACTGCAGTCTCTCAAGGAAAAACGAATGAAGTATCCACACCTACTGTTCAAAAGCTGATTGATAAAGACTTCGTAGCAGAATTCAAAAATGGCAGCTGGAGCGTGTCTTGGAAATGGTTGATGGAACCACCAACTTTAACAAACTAAATTCTAAACTATCACATCTCTGAAGACTTTAAAAGTGAGTACGCAACGGAAATAAGTGAATAGAATAGCACAGGGATGGCTGAAACCGTTTGAAAGGAAATGTAATGGCATCATTCCGTTGATGGCAGTAATTCAACGAAACAAATTAAAAGTATGTCTGGTGATGAACTACCGGGAGCTGAAACAATTTGTATCCAGTCATACTGCAGATGGCGATGTTTGCAGTACCAAACTTCGCAACTGGAGAAAGTTGGGAGAAAATCTTGAAATTTAAAAAATTCGATTTTAAAAAATCGATTTAAAAAAAGCGTACCAGCAGATTTGTGTCGACGAAGCATTATGGAAATATCAAGTTGTGGAATATGAAGGGAAGCGATATTGTCTAACAAGATTGGGTTTTGGTTTAAATGTGGCGCCCAGAATAATGACAAAAATCTTAAAAAAGGTATTATCCTTAGACAAAGTTGTCGAGTCTGGGACGGATTCATTTATTGATGACATCATTGTCAATAATAACATAGTGTCAAGTTGTAGAGTTCAAGAACTCTTGAAAAAATATGGCTCGGATTCTAAGCTGCCAGAAAAACTTGTCGGTGGGCGTGTGCTTGGATTGGGAGTGTACAAACAAAACAACCAAGTGCGTTGGAAACGTGCCAATATACCCAAAGTTCCTGAAGGAAAAATGACGTGTCGGCAAATCTTTTCTTGGTGCGGACAGCTGACTGGACGCTATATAGCTATTGACGTTACCCACTATAAATCAGAGATTTATTTGTCTATCGTCAACTGTGGCAAAAGGAGCAAGTTTGCAATTTGGAGGAAGCTACAAAACGAGAAAGAAGCAACATTGTGTTTCTATCTAGAAGAAATATTTCGAGAAAAAGGACCTCCGTGGCAAGTTCTTCTTGACAACAGCAAGACCTTTCACTCAAAACTCGTTGGTGAATTATGCGCAGAATGGGGAGTGTCCATCCTGTTTCGTTGCGCTTACAGGCCATCTGGAAATGGAATTGTTGAACGTCACCATTGCACAATCAAGCGCATGGCAGCAAGAAGTGGCAAAGATCTGTTAAAAATGGTATATTGGTATAACGTGGCTTCCAGAAAAAATGGCTAGAAAACATCGCTCCCCTACAAAGCTATATTTCCCTATGAGTAGAAACCACAGACAATTTTTGCCAAAACTAACGAGGAAGTTCTCCACAACTACACACAAGGACAAGAAGTATTTGTAAAACCACCTGATTCAAAATGTACAAGCGAATGGAATAGAGGAAGAGTCTCAGATGAAGGACGAGGAGTTTTGGTAGAAATCAATGGATTACCGAGACACATGTCAGATGTCCGTTCAGCATGTTGGAAGCAACCATGTGAAATGGGGATTATTGTGGCTCTCAAGAAGCGATATAAATATCTTTATCTCTCAGACATTTTTTTTAGGACTTATTTAGGTCACATAGATTGGGAATCAGTCAAGAGCTTTTTTGTTTTTCTTTTGGATACCCGTACGAACAACTATCATCAAACATACGGTCAGTAATTATGAAAAGTAAACGAGAAAAGCTGTAGAATGCATATCAGTCTACATTTCATGACTTTTTTTGTCATGCATTTTTGTCATAAATTTGAGTTTTAAATTGTCTAGTTATCTTAGTTATAGTTACTATTATCTAAGTGCACCCTATAGCACCACCCATTATATAAGTGCAACACCCATTAGCCTTTTAATGTCCCATTAAATTTTTTATTTCTAAAAAATGAATTTTATAAAAATATATAGTTGCGACTTAGGGACAGAATATGTTGGAAATATTCATTGTGAACTAGCGAAAAAATTGAATGATTTATTGGATAGAACTTCTAAGTTCCGCGAAAAGTATAAAAATGAACAGCTTAAGGTAAATATTTGTATTATATGGGATATTCAGTTATTTACTTTTTTTAATATAATATTAACGCTTTTTTTTTTTTTGTGATAGTTGTAAAAAACTTATAGCGTGAACTTAATTACTAGGTTGATGATAAAATGAAAAAATCTCAGAAAGAAAAAAAAGTTGCATATGAAAATTTGAATAAGGTTGTTTTTTTTTAATTTTTATTCAATAATTTAAATTTAACCACTTCAAGTTTTTTGGTTATATATTATATATTATATAATATATATATATATATTTTGGTTACAGCTTATTTGTATTTAATGTGCATTGATTATATAATTATTTTTTTTAAATTATATGAACACCTAACTTTAAAGCGAAAAAACTATTTTTATTAATTATTTTTTTTTTACCAGTCCAGTCGAGGTTTTTCTTATCCTGTCTTGTCTAATCTACACTTGGTTTTCTTACCATTTTAAGATCTACTTAGCATAAGTCAAATAAATCAAACTATTACATCATAAAATTGTTCAACCTGGATCTAAACAGCAGGTGGTCTTGGAGCCAAATAGATTTGAAAAAGATTTTTAACTATGTGACAGCTGATAAAAGTGCACTTCATCCTGATCTTATCAGTTTCATTATAAATGTAGCAAACTATTTTTAAAATAAAATTTTTAACAATTTTTCTCTTTTATATTATAGATTTAGCGAGGGTTGTACAGTAAACCAAAGAAACCACATGATTTTACGTTTTATTTTATTTAAGAGAACTTCTCTCATAAAAAAAAAAAGAAAAAAAAAATTAAATCTAAACAAATGTTAATAGACTATAAATGAGGCTTAAGGTTAAATTTTTAATAGGTAAATAAAATACAAAACAACAAGAAAGTTAAAAAAATGATTCTTTTCTAGATAAATTTTTTCCGGTAAAAATTTTTTCAAAAAAATGACCTAGATAATCTATGGTATATAATATGGTACATAATTCAAATATCGATATGATTAAATATAGATTTGGCAGAATTTTTTTCTTCTAATAGCATGAGGTGCATCATAAAAAATTAAAAAAAACTTATGTGCCACAAATAAAATGCTTATTAAAACTAAAAGATTTCAAATTTTTGTTTTTGCTTTTAATAAGTCTTGCAGATTAATTTTTACTCACAATCTAAGCAGGGTATTAGTTAGAATATAAACTTTAAGGCCGTTTTTTTTTTGAATTGGTTTAGAGCCATGGCTGAAATTTTTTGTTCATAAAAAAGGTCCCCTAAAACTGAGAAGGTCACTTATATACCATTAAGAATGGCCTGGTAAACAGTCTGTATAGATGCTAGTTAATACACTGTTTAGGGATCTTAGTCCAGGGGGTTTATAATTTTATTAACTATTGTATTAGTGTCTTTATTTAAATATTATTACTTAATAAGTATTTTAAACATAAATATTATTTTTTTTAACAGTTAATATTAAATTCTTTTTGTATTTCATAATTTTATTTAATAACTAAAGTGGAAAATCATGTTTACAGGCTAAAAAAGTTTATGAACAGCGATGTAGAGAAACAGACCAGTGTCAAGAATTGTATGATTCAAAATCTTCTTTTACACAAAAGGAAGAAGAGCGGGTATAATTCAATTTTTTTTTTTTTTTTCTTAAATTAATCATTTAACTAGATGTTTCTGATTTTAAAGTTTCAATATTTTTTTAAGTTTTATAGTATTTCTAATCCAGACGTTTTTCCAGACAAACAAGAAAAATACATAAAACAATAAAAAACTTTCGAAAAAAGATTAAAACAAAGAATGAAAAAATCAGACTTGCAGTAATAGATTTTTTTGTGAAAACGTACAAAATGGTTTTTTAAAGCAAAAAAATTGCATAACTATTTTACATTTCTTCAAAATTATAAAACAGAGGATAATAAGCTCCAGGTGGAGGGGAGGGATCTAAAAATTAATAAACCAACCCCTTCCCTGCCCAATTAATTAATAGAGCTAATCAAGGTGAGTTCTTCACATTAAAGTGCTTTTCCTTTCGCACTAAATTGCTACTCATATTCTGAGTTAAGTCAGGATGGATAGATTGAGGATGACAGAGTGAGGGTTTGAACCTTTAACTCTGCTGCTAGCGACTTTTTAGTAATCATTGATTTATAACAGCGCTATTTCAACCTATCCTGGCTAAAGAATTTAATATTTATAAGAGCCAGCTTTAGATAAATCACAATACACAATCTGTCAGTGATATGTAATATATGAAACTATTTATAATTAAATTAAGTTTATAATCAAAAATAATATCTTTTTAAAAAAAACCTCAGAATCCTTATCAGAAACTGGATCTAATTTTCCTTAGATAAATTCTTTGATTTTAACTAAGGGTGATATGATTGCAACACCAACATGGCAAAAATGTGAGATTATTGCAAAAACAAAACTAAGTGAATAAAAAAAATTTTTTATTTAATTTGTTTTTAAGCGGTTTTAAAATCAAAAATTGCTATGCATTAATAGCTAAAAATTTATAACATAGTTATTAAAATAAATTTATAAAGTTTGAGGTAATAGACAAAGCAAACATTTTTAATTCACTAACCTTTTTTGCCTTAAATAAAATTGAAAATTTTATAAAAATAAAACTAAAATTAAAAAAATTAAACTTAATAGGAAAAGTATCATATAAAAACTGGAAACCCTTTTTTTTTAATTTTTGTTTAGTCATAGAAGCAGTGAGTCAGCCAATCATAGAAGTAGTGAGTCAGCCAATCATAGAATCAGTGAGTCAGCCAATCATAGAAGCAGTGAGTCAGCCAATCATAGAAGTAGTGAGTTCCAATAATAAAACTACCTAATAATCTTTTTTAACAATAGAAACCAAAGGAGAATTAGACCAAACTGTTTATCAAAAATAATAACTTTGTTTTTCTACCCTTAACTTCCAAATAGTTTATTGTTTTTACTAAATAAAATAATAAAAATGCAAAATAAAAAAAATGGATCTCTAGTTGTTTTTTTCACACTATAAAATTGGTTTTGTTAAATTAAAAAAAAAGTTTAATAGTAAAACAATCATCAATTTTTGTTTAAGTACATCTGTAAATACAACAATGTTTGCAAAACACTTTTTAAATGGCATACCTTATAATAAATGTTTATCTACATAAAAAAATTTTTTTAATGATTTCAAGTACATATCATAGAGTTGGCAATGTGAGAAGCAAGGATTTATAAATTAAGCACTAACTTTACAAAACAACAAAAAAATCTTTTTCCACAATAGAATCATAGTAGCGCTCAGGTAGTGATGCAACTGCACAATGGATTTTCTGCTTTGACAGGTAATGTTTCACTGCCAGGTTTTAAAAAAAATCTTTTTTTTCATATTATTATGGTATCAAGGATGTTTTGTTAAGTAAATACAGATTAACTCATTTTATACACCAGTCATGTATAGAGTATCATTGTAATATTTAGAGTATCATTGTAGGTGATTTTGGGGCACAGGTTGACAGAGGAATTTTGAATATCAAAATTGACACAGGAAGTTTGAATATCAATACAACGTGCAGAAGTATTATTTATAATGTCAAAAACAAAATTGTAGAGCAAAATTGCACCAACTCAATTCAAACTTAAAAACTTATTTTGTAATTTTAGCCCTGAAGAAGTTATTTGTGGCTCTAATTTGGTAGAATTCATTTTTTTCCTGTTGAATAATGATTAATAAAGTAAGTTTCAAATCAGAAAAATTTACTAAATTAAAACTATGTTTTAATATAAGGTACGCTAAAAAACATTGATTAGCGCAAAACTAAGAGAAAATTATAAATATAAGAAAACGTTTTGGTTTTTAAACCTACCAAAAAAAATAAGAAAAAAAAGGAAATCTTCCAACATATTCTTCCAACATATTATATTCTCTAATACTAAAACAGTATAATAAATGTTTATCAAGACATTGTTTACAGACAATTGGTTAAGAAAGTACAGTAAAAAATAAAATTTTAAAACTTTTAAGAATTTTTAAAACTATTAAGAAATCTTGTTCTTTAAAAAAAAAATTTATAATCCATAAAGATTTATTAGTCCATAACATAAAAATTAAGTTCTTTTATAATCTATAAAGATTTATTAGTCCATAACATAAAAAATAAGTTCTTTTATAATCTATAAAGATTTATTAGTCCATAACATAAAAAAAAAATTCTTTCATAATCTATAAAGATTTATTAGTCTATAACATAAAAAATAAGTTCCTTTATAATCTATAAAGATTTATTAGTACATAACATAAAAAAATACTAAAAAAAATAAATTAGTAAAATTACTTCTATGTTAAAAAAAGAAAATCTCAAAAATTTTAAACATATATGTTTTTAAATATATATAATTATGCTAGCTACTATTTTAAAATGTTTGTGAAAATTGGAAAAAATTATTTAGTACTTTTGAACACTTTTGTAAAATTATAATGGAAATGTTGTGCGAACCAGAAGCCGTAGAAAAATTTAATTAAGATTTGACTTTAGCATCGGAAGCCTAAGTTATTTGGATGGCTAACAATAGGTTAATCTGGTTAACTGGAATGGCAGGAAGAGTATTGTCATTAAAAAGTTCTTTGCAAATAACTCTGGCTTATATTTGGGAGAAGTAATGAGATCAGACCCACAAATTAGAGATCGAATGTTAGACTTACTTTAGTTAATGACACTGTTAAAGATTTTACAAAAGTCTATAGAAATCAACATCTGAGATAATATTAAAGATTAAGTAAACTGAAAATGATAAAGTTTAATAACAGCCAGGACCTTTTTACATTGCAATAATAAAAAGGCATATGTTTTCAAAGGTGATGTTTTTGTAAAAAGCAAAGAAAAATGATTATGGTTTAATATAGCAACTGCACGAGAAGGTGAAAAACGTGGAGTAAAATAAGGCTTGACTGAAAACCGACCATAAGGAATAAAAGCTTGCATACCTGCTGGGATCCAGAAAGTTAGGTAAGAGGCATATTTTCCCTACCTAATAAGAATATATATAGGTATAAACATATATATTTGTTATTTATTAAGATGCTTGCATACAATATCTTTATATATTTGTATAAACTTTAGTATTTATATGGTGAAGTATTTGCCAAAAGACAAAATGATGATTAGATGGATGTGTGGTATAACTCTAACAAAACATAAAAGGAGCCTTAATTTTAATGATTTGAAAAATCATTGTATTGAGCAATGTTTTTCAGAGAAGAATAAAATGATTTGGGTATCAGCATATTGAGAGGTAGTAGCTTCAGAAGAAAACGATCGACGCGGTAGAAATAAGAAAACTTGTAACAAATGCATTGCATATGGTATGAACAAGCTTTAGTTAAGGAAAGAAGATGCTTAAGATGTTCATATTAGAGAAAAGCTTGATGATGATGATGATGATGATGATGATGATGATGATGATGATGATGATGATGATGATGATGATGATGATGATGATGATGATGATGATGATGATGATGATGATTAAATTTGATTTCAATATATGATATTAAAAAGTTAATTATAATGATTATAATTTAATGTATAATATACTTTATATTACAATCTAGTTAACCACAACTACAGAATTATTGTGTACCTGCCGCTACACAAATTATATTAATGTAACAGCATTAATCTGTTTTCTTTTCTTATGTCTCATGTCAATTTATGTTTTTTTAATTTTGAAATTGATTTTTATTGCAAATGATTTGTTTGATAAGCAATATTTATTCCTTAAAATATTATTTTATGGTATTAGTTTTAAATTTTAATGATATGAGTTGGTTGATCAATTGCTATGAATTTATTCAGAAAAAATTCAAAAAAAAATAAAATTAGGCAGGAGCATTAAAATATAAATGAAATCTTGATCAAGAATCCATTATATCCTCTCAAGTATAATAAAATGGAAAATGATAAACTTTTAAAATATCAAACACATTTGTAACATTTTAATTGTTGTTAAATTTAAAATTAAAATAAACACACATTAGTAACATTTTAATTGCTTTTAGCTGAAAAGAAGTTTATCAAAGTCAAAAACATATGCTGAAAACTCAGGTAAGCAAAATTTTAACATATGCTGAAAACTTAAGTAAAATTTTATCATATATTTTATGAGAAGTTTTCATTTCTTGTAAAAATTTTGACCCTTAAGTTAATTTCTTTTTAAATATCCATGGTTCCACACTTGTGTGGCTTTGACAGGTTTTTATAATATCATTTTTTCTTCTCTTTAGTAAATAGCTTTTTTAAATTTATTTGATTTAACACCTATACATATTTTTATGTCTAATTTTTGACTCTAAAAACTACCCAGTGATAATAATCTACTACTTATATAGTAACTGTAATTGTGTTTGAAAAATTGTTAATCATAATGCATATATATATATACTACTTCCTTTTCGGCAAAGTATTTTATTTTTAAAAGTTGATGTTTGCCCTCTATTGTCTTGTACATAAAGAAAGATATATAGCTATATAATCATATTGAAATAGTTTTTTTATTACTTTTTTTAACTACCGTTACCATGCTTTTAAAAATTTCAAATTTTCTTTTAAATTTCTTCGTTCTGAAAAATCGCATCTTAGTTGGAACAAGTTTTTCATTGATTTATGCTTGAACTCATAGCATTATGTTAAAAATAACCATCAGTAACAGTAAGTTGTTGTGAAACACCCACGGTTTGTAAATTAATTTCATAAATTATAATAGTTTTAATTACAAGAATATTTGGAAAACTAACTTATTTACTTTTATTTTATTTAAATAATGTCAGTTATAATTATGTTTCAATATATAATTTGCTTTCTTTTTATTACAAAGCATATTAAAAAATCATTAAATTTTTTAGAAGTTTTGCATACCAGTAATAACAATATAAATAAATGTTTGTGAAGTATTATGCTAGCAAATTTGCATTCAGGACTTCAAAAAGAAATTATTATATTAATTTTTTTATATAATGCATTCATAAGCCCTTTCAAAATATTACTTTGTTTGTCAGTTTTCTTGAACTTATTGATGACTTTTTTATTTCTATAATCCTAGTCAATCTAAACATATATTCACAGTAAAAAATCACAAATTAACAAAATTTTATTCTATAAATCTTCATTAATAAAATCCCTTTCAAATCTATAATATTTTTATTAAACAAATTCAATGCTGTCCCTTTCAAATCTATAATATTTTTATTAAACAAGGCAATAAGAATAGGGCTCAAACTAAAAATTTTCATGATTTTATCAAACTATGTAAAAGTATCAGCAGATTGGTGGATAATTTTTCATTGCTTTTGATTGCATTAGTTAAACCTAAAACAATTTCTTTTATATATAAGCATATGGAATGCTTTCTGTTATGTAAATATGGAATGTCATTTATCAGTAACTTTTTACCTACTTCCTTTAAAAAATCTGCAATTGCATCATTTAGAAAATCATTCCAAAAAATTTAATCATTAAGATATAAAAGTTTTTGAAGTATTTTTAGCATTAAACATGTCAAATTATTTATCAATAATTCTAATAAAATAAAAATGTTTGTTCTCATGTAGAATGGAACCATTAAAATATAGTACAGATACCAAGAGATACCATTAAAAATTCACTGGCAACAATAACAAAGCTGCTTCAAGTTTGTCCAGTTATTTTCACATTAATTTTGTGGAAATGTTATTTGATGTTTTCTTGATAATTTGTTTGCCAAAGTCAAACCTTCAAACTTCAAGTTCCCAATTTTTAAACTGTATAAACTCAAACAAAGCTTTAATATAACTCCATTTAATATAGATGTTATTGCCATGGATGAAAACTTCCGTTCATTTAAAGAGTTCCAGGCTCATTTTAGCATGTGGTATTAAAAAAATTATGATATTGAATTGGTTGAAAAAGTTGTTATTTGACAAAATTTTGTCAAACAAACAATTAACCCTTAATTAACACTAAGTTTTGTCTAATAAGCAATTTAAGTCTAATAAACCCATAAAAATCCCAAATTAAAGAAAAACTAAGAAACCACTCTAGTTCTCTCACCAGCTCACACAATTCTGGTTCCAGCTCATATAGCTTTATTAAAGAGTAATTGTTATTATTATATAATAAATTTTATTAGACTCAGTTTATCAAAGCAGCGTAAAGATTCTTGAAGATTGTCATAAAAAATGGGCGTCTGATATGGAAGAAGCATGTCAGGTATTTTTTTTATCAATTGTTTCACAATTTAACAATTTACTTTCCACTTTTACAAAGTTTCATGTCTTGACATAAAACTCACTTTGTGCAGGTTTTTCAAAATTTGGAAGAAGAACGAATTCAATTTCTTCGAAATGAATTTTGGATTTACACAAATTTAGGATCCACTCAAGCTGTTGATATTGATGAAGTAATTTTTTGAGTTTTTAAAAATGTTTTAAAACTATAATGTTTATTTTCAATTTAACTATTTATATATTTATTATATATTATATTATTATTGAGTTATTGTATATTGTTTAATGTAATAATAACCTCTAATAATAAATAAATAGTAATTAAACAAATATCTTAACAAATTAATCAGTTTTTCTTAAAAAAAGCTGATTAATTTGTTAAGATATTTTTTTTGCTAAACTTTTATAAAGTGCTATTTATAAAAGTTTAGCAAAAAATATCTTAATTTGTTAAGATATTTTTTGCTAAACTTTTATAAAGTGCTAAATCAGTGCTCCCAATTTTTCAAAATGCTAGAAAACACTTTGACCTTTCTAACTATTCTATGATTAGTCTTCTCTCTGTTATTAGTTGCTTTATATAAAAGTTTTGAGGTTATTTAAAAATTTATTTCTAACTGTAGTAGTAAAGTTGTTCTTAAAGGCCCCTTCTTTATTTTAAGCAACTTTAAGAGTATCGCAAGGTTCTATTGTTGTAACTGTATTGTTTCTTATTTACAATAACAATCTTCATGAAACCTAAAGTGGCTCTATCTGCTGACAACTCAACTTTAGACTCTTGTCTTGACTAAAAATCTTCACTATTTAATTACTTAAAACAAGCAGCCGATTTTAAATCTGATCTCTGTTCTGTAACCTGAAGCAATGGCTTATAGATTTAAATTATGGACTTAAAATCCACAATTTTTGTTAGACAACAAAACTCATTTATTTACTGCAAAAAATTATAGCAATATTGTTGGCACTCCTATATTGAGGCATAAAAACACTCTTATTCTCAGACAAGTCTAAAAGCACATTATAAATGTAATGTAGACCTGCTTTATCTGTAAAGCTTTATCCACTTTCCCATTGTTGTAAGGTTTCATTTTCTACAAATACTATCATGGTCAATGCTCAAACGAGCTATTATCTCTATAAGGATAAATCAAAACTCTTTTATGGCTTTTTATTCAACAAGTTGCATCCTTTTACTATATTTGTCCCTTCATGCTATAAAAATTTTTATTAATCCAGTTTTTTTTCCTTAAACATCAAAAAAACCTATAACTTTTACCCATCTTCGTGTTTTTCTTTTTTATACAACTTACAACTTTTTAAGTTTTCAGTTATACGTTTCCTATTGTTTTAAGTTGTTCTCTATTTTAAAGTAAATCATAATTTAATAGTGGTTGCTTGCAATCTTGTTGGAAGTAAATTAGAGTTTAAAAATATATAAATGTACGTGTTTATTAAATAGTAAATGTACCCTGCTAAATCTAATAATTTTGCCTGGGCTAGGGCCAGGTTTGCAAAAAGTCTCATTTTTATAAATATTATTTTGAGACGAAAAAACATGTCTAAAAATCCTTGGTATCCAATGCCAGGAACTGTACACAAAGTTTAGTACATGGTAGACCAATTCTAAAAAATACAGTTCTGCTAATTGGTTATTTTCATGAAGAAGGGTCTAAAGCATGACATAAAATTTATAAGCAAGATTGAAGTGTGCAAAAACAACAGAAAAAAAAAATCTAAAAGATATTTTGCATAGAACCTTAGATACCTCAGATCCTATCATTTCCAGTATTAATTTACACAGAAGAATTCTAAATCAGTTCAACTTAATCAGTAAACCTTTGAGCAAGAAAATATTATCAATTAGCATAAGGCTTTTAAAAATACAGAGACCTTAGATTTTAGCAGTGACTTTAATTATCTTTAAGCTTTTACAAAAAAATTGAAAAATTTTTCAATATATTTTTATAATATATTTTTCAATATTATTTTTATCTCAATATATTATTATTTCAATATATTTATTACAAAAAAAATTGAAAAATCAAAAAAAAATTTCATTTTGTTTGTAAAATTATAAAAAAAAAAAAAAAAATCAGGTAAAGAATTTTTAATTAAAAAATGTCTCACAAATGTAAGGTCACGTGCTTTTACACATGCTCGAGTATGTTCTGGTATAGGTTCAACCATTATCTTTAGCTGGTACTAATCTATACTTTTTTTTTTACTTTTTTATACTATTTTTATCATATTTATATATATTTTTTAACTTTTATTTTGTTTCTATTTTTATTTATACATATTTAAATTTATTATTTTATTATAAAAATATATTTTTTATATTAATTTTTGTTATTTTTATTTATTTTATATTATATTTCATTTTTAACTTCATCTATTTACGAAAACGATTAATTACAATAATATAATTTTAAACCTTGGCGTAACCCTAGCCCTAACCTTGATGCCTGGCCTAATTAAACCCTCAGTCAATGTAGCAGCATTCCCTTGCAAGTCAGGCTATTTGATGTATGTATTTTCGTTCTCTATAAAAGTTTCTTGTGAGTACATTTTTTTACAAAAAAAAATTTCTGCAGGCTTATGAGGAACATTTTTTTAAAATTGGTATCCTCTAATAACACATTATATATATATAATATATATATATATATATATATATATATATATATATATATATATATATATATATATATATATATATATATATATATATATATATATATATATATATATATATATATATATATATATATATATATATATATATATATACATATATATATATATATATATATATATATATATATATATATATATATATATATATATATATATATATATATATATATTTATATATATATAATAAAATAAATATATATATATTGATATATATATATATATATATATATATATATATATATATATATATATATATATATATATATATATATGTATATATATATATATATATATATATATATATATATATATATATATATATATATATATATATATATATATATATTTATATACACACTTACTAAAGTGTGTTTTGATAAGCATTTGCTCACTTTTTCTGCTTACCTTAAGCTATACCATTTTTTTCGAAAAAGAAGAAGAAAAAACAGAATGATGATTAAAATGATTGCTTCCCCATCCCAAACCCTCAGTTGATGTAGCAGCACTCCACTGCGAGACAGGCTTTTTTTCTGTCAATGCATGTACTGAAGCCCCCAGCAGCAGGCTATTTCAGTATGACGTCAGATTGCTTACCTTAGTACGCAATACTATATATATATATATATATATATATATTTTAAAAATGTATTCTACAAAATAGAGTGCTCAATGTTCTTAAAAGAACAGAGCAATTATAAATTACTAGAAAATCACTTAACAAAAATTTTCTTTTCATTTTATACGTGTTTCATCAACAAAGGCTCATCAGAAATGCATTTCTTCACTTAACAAAAATTTATTTTCGTTTTACACAGTGTAAAATAAAAAACACACACACACACAAACACACATATATTTAAATAGCTAATGTATTATAATATATTTAAATTTATAGAAATATGAAGACTGTCGTAAAGTGATTGAAAAATGTGACCATAACTATGATATTGATCTTTTTATATCACAGAAAAGAACTGGTTCTGAGAGACCAGGTAATATAAAATCTTACTGAATATTTTTTTAAGACATAAAATATATATACTCACTTTTTATTATTCTGATTATATACAACTTGTACTTGAAACCATTTTTGATTGAACCTAACTAATAAATAAATTATAAGAAACAGATTGTTTAGTCACTTGAAGTATTTCATTAAGGTTTTTGAATTTTGAAAAAGAAATAAAAAATGGCAGACAATTTTTAAGATGTAGCTGGGCAATTGCATTTGGACTTTTTAATAAGAGCTCTAATAATTGAGAACCATAATATGTAATTGAAAAATCATAGTACATAATTGAGAAATGCAACATATAATTGTTATTTGTAATATATAATTAGTTTCTAAAATTTAATTGCAAATAAGCAATGTAAATTTGTATGTATAAAAGGTTATAAGTTTTCATTAGTTAATAATATAAAATTTAGTATTTTTTACCCATCAATTATGGAAAAGTATTATCTTATACTTCAATACTCTTTGACCTGAATGTCTTACATCAAATTATAAAATTTTTGTCAACTTTAATTTACCAAATTCTTATAAATTCAGTTTTGGAACAACAAGGTCTTACTTTTTTAGAAAGAAATAGTTATTAAATGTCTTCTTCAAATGACAGAAGAAATGTTTTTAAATGTGCTGAGCAAAATGATGGTTCTAGCGCAAACTTTTGATGTAAGATTTTTAATATGACCATTAGGTGTAAGATGTTTAATATGACAATTAGCTCGACAACAATTGGAAACTGCCTTAAAGTCATATTATTTTTTTATCAAATTTACTAATATTCTTTTAAATAAGTTTGGTATCGGTATAAAATGTTTTTTAATAAAACAAGGCTAAGGGCTTAATTGGTAAACCAAAAGTAATAACTCAAAATCTTGCATAACCTTTTATTATTTTAAATTTTGGTTTTCAGGTCTTTACAATCTAATTCTTTTATGAAAAGTTTAATGTTTTTGACTTATAAAACCAGTGGGTACAATTTGACTGATAACCTGTGGGTATAATTTGGAGATTAATTTGAAGATTAATTTGATTTACTCTTAGTTGCTGATAATGCTTTTTTACCATCTGATTTTTTTCATTTTTTGAACTCTCAGTTAAACTCATAAAATCATATTTTAAATTGATACTTGATTGGGTTGTTTCGGTCAAATACTTTTTAGTAACTTACTAATTTTACATGAAAATAAACTATTATTTTAATTTTTTTTAAACAACATTATAACGTTTGCATGTTCATATTTTAATAAAGTAGCTATAGAGAAATATCTTTTTTTAAATGTATAAAAGAAACATGCATTTTTTTTTTAATTATTTTTTTCTCTAGTTGCTCCTTCTAGGTGTTCCAACAAGACCTAACAGTCTTATCACAGAGCATCACAGAGAAGTATTTAACCAGGACCTTTATGTTGTTTTTCTTACTGATTTCATGTTTGTAGCCAGATTGTTAAATCGTTAGCCTTTTTACCTTAATTATTTTCTTAATTTTTTAAAGGCATTGTTCTAACCTACTGTGCCGCTGCTGATCAAGTTTCAAAAAAGTGTTCAAATTTTAAGTTTACAGTAACAGATACAAATATTCCCATGTTTGCGCTATTTACAGCATTTTAGACACTTGAAAAATAAAAAGTATAAAAAAAAAAAGGAATATATAGGGTAATAAGTAGTTACTATGCGTGATCAGACAGTCTACTTTTTTATTGCTATGATGATTTTTTATTGCTATGATTTCAAAATAAGTTGTTCAATAACAATTACCATAATTACTAATATTTCAAAATTGTTTTTAATAATAACCTGTATTTTTTTGTTTTCAGCTTTCATAACATATGAAAATTTTTATTTCAATACCAAAAGTTCACTTGGGCGATCTCAATTCAAAATTAATGAGAGTTCTATAGATGGTGAGTTTTATTAAAAAAATATTCATACGCAAAATCTGCACTGACATCATTTCATAAGAATTGATGTAATTGTATTGCTTAACATTCTGGGATACCCTGGTGGACCATTACGCTAATAGTGTAAGGGTAAAATGTATGATTTAAAAATTTAAAAGTTCTGTTTTGTGTGTGCAAGAAAAAGTAGCAATAAAAAAAAAGCATTTTTCTTTTCTAGCTTTTTCTGGTTAAAACTAAATCAATCATTTTTTTGCCTGTAAAAAATATTTGATTTGATTTTTTTATTATTATTTTATTATTTATCTTTTTTATTTAATATTTGTATTAGTTGTGTTAGTAGTTTCCAATGACATAAATTTCATAATTGAAATTTTACAATATTCATCTCCCGATTTCCGAGGGGGTCGCTATAGTCAAGTAGGTCACTTTTTTTTTATTGTGTAGTTCTTTAACACCAAAACATGAGCCTTGACAAACAAAGTAGCTGTGCAGAGAGATAACACTTTGCTACCAGGAATGTGATGGGTATTGAACTTACAATTTTTTGTTTAAAAAATGAGAGCTTTACCACTGAACAACATTTATTTCATCATGTCACCACTGCGTATTATGTGACATTTTAGTTAAGGTACTTTATAATTTAAGAAATTTATTTTTATATTTTAAGAAATCTTTAGATTTTAAGAAATTTTCTTATTCAAACTCATTCAAACAACGTTTCAAAACATTTTAAAACGTTTCAAAACGTTTTAAAACCATCACATTATTGTATGGTATTTTTATTTAATCAAACCCTTACTTTGCAAAATTTGATTGTTTAGGAAACCTTTTTTTTTTTATTTTTTTTTGCTGTTATTGTTGCTATGGAAATAAATTGTATTATAAATATTGCTTATATTATAGTTTTTTATATATAAAAATAATAAAAAAAATTTTTCCTAAAAAATGAATTTCTTCATAAAATCTAGTTTAATTTTAAAAACAGCAAATTCTAAACAAATTAAGTTGTGTGAAGATCCAACAGTACATCTCAAAATGCAAACCCAAATTACTAGGTAATTTGGTAAATGGATAGGCTTTGATTTTAAACTCATCATTTGATCTAAAAACTAAATGTTAACAATTCCGTATTTTATAGAAGGTGATTATACAACAATTGGTCAAGTTCGCAGTGTTTCATCATCAACTCTCTCAAACTTTGCAAAAGTTTTATACGCCTATGATGCTCAGAGTAACCAAGAGTTATCTCTTGCCGTTGGTGATGTCATAGAGGTTTGTTGCAGTCACCCTTAGAATTAAATTTTTTATTTTAATGTTGATAAATTTTTGGGTTAATAATTTAAAATATCTTAGCAAAAATAGTGACGTAAATTTTGGTAAAGTTAGTTTTTTGCCCAGGTAATAGCTAAATTTTAGTAGCATTTTGTGAATGCAGCATTTGTGAATTCATAATTTTTAATAGTGTGTCGTTATTAGTTATAACGCCTATGTAGTTTTTTTGCAGTGAGCTTTTAAATGTCCTTAAATATTTACATCTTTTTTCCCTTTGATTAGCTGCTGTTAACAACATCGTTTTGTATGACAAATAAATTAATATAAAAATTAATAAAAATAAAAACATAAGAAAACAGTTTATTTATGTTTTATACCATACTATAATTTATGCACAAAAAATGTTGTTGAAAAAAGTTTAATTGATTTTACAAGGGTTTTTGCTTTGCTTTTTTGTTGTTGTTTTTTTACTGACATTGACTAAATCGACTAAAAGTGGACTAGTCAAAAGTGGAAATTAGTCGACTGAAAAATCAAATAGTCGATTTAATTAGCTATGGATTTCCTACTAATTGACTAATACTAATTAATATATATATATATATATATATATATATATATATATATATATATATATATATATATATATATATATATATATATATATATATATATACATATATATATATATATATATATATATACATATATATATATATATATATATATATATATATATATATATATATATATATATATATATATATATATATATATATATATATATATATATACATATATATATATACATATATATTTATATATATATATATATATATATATATGTATATATATATATATATATATATATATATATATGTATATGTATATATATATATATATACATATATATATATATATATATATATGTATATATATATATATGTATATATGTATATGTATATATATATGTATATATATATATATATATATATATATATATATATATATGTATATATATGTATATATATATATATATACATATATATATATACATATATATATATATATGTATATATATATATATATATACATATATATATATATATATGTACATATATATATATATATATATATATATATATATATATATATATATATATATATATATATATATATATATATATATATATAAACAATTTTTAAAAAAATGTATTCTACAAAATAGAGTGCTCAATGTTCTTAAAAGAACAGAGCAATTATAAATTAGTAGAAAATCACTTAACAAAAATTTTTTTCATTTTACACTGTGTTGAGTCTTTGTTAAGTCACTTAGCAAAAAAAATATTTTTGTTAAGTGATTTTCTACTAATTTATATATATATGTATATATATAAAATTTTATTCTCCGAATTCTAAATGTCATCTATACAATCAACATAGTAAGTATAATTCCATAGACTTATACAATCATTTGATAATTAGCAAGTGTTTAAGACGGTCCCTATATCACTAGGGCTTGGGAATAAATTGTTCCGTCATTGGAGTAGCCTCACATTTTTTGTTCCATTAATATTTAAATGATATAATGTTAAAAAAATAAAAAGCGAATAAAAATTCATTTATTACTTTTATTAAAATTTTTTATAATTTATATTAAAATTTATTTATTAAAATTTATTTCGAAATAAAGTCGACTTAAACAATGTAATAGTTGATTTAGCCAGAAGTCAAATTATGCAGTGACAACTCTATTTTTTTTCTCAAATGTTGCGAAAAAACGATTTTCCATATATAATTTTTTAGTCTAATTCTTTGTTCTTAAAACTTTTTTATTTTACTACTAGTATTCTTTAACTTGTTTGCTCAATTTTATAGTTTTATGGATATTTTTGTTAATATGTCGAAACCTAAAGTTTAACTATATATACGATTTAATGTCCGTTTATTTTATTTATTCTTTATTCTTAAATGGAAGTAACTTAACTTAAAAGTAAGAGAAAAATACTGTTCTATTTAGATTCTTAAAATTGAAGATGACCAATGGGGCATAGGTATTTTAAATGGGCGAAGAGGTGCTTTTCCACTTAACTTTGTACGGAGATGAAAAAGTTATTTAGATAATTTACAAATTATATTTTTACTTTATATAAATTTTTTTATCGGTAAAATGAGTATACATACATACATGCATACGCATATACATAAATGCACACATATATGTGTGTATTTATGAATATAAGGTTTCATAAATTAACGCGTTTAATAAATTAGATATCGAATTTATTTTTAAATAATTATTTTGACCTCCTCGTGTGTTCTTTTTTTACACTTACCTTTAACTGGATTTAAAAACTTAAATTACAAAAATTGTTCTAAGTTGCCGATGGTACATAAATATTTGAGAATCTTTAGTATATCACGGTGCTATAATATTTTCTAAAAAATTGTTTCCTTAGAATTAAATTTTAATGGAATTTTCAAAAATATTTATATAAAAATTTGAAGTAATCGTTTTGTTTTTCACTACTTTTTTTAAAACGCTAAATAAGCAAATATGTTTTTTAAAGGTTTTTTGTTTCTTGTTTCAATATATTTTTAATGTGAAAATTGTGTAAAAATTTTTACGAGCTGATATTTTTACTTCCTGATATTTGAAATCCAGTTTGTCATTCAATAAATTTAAGAGTTTGTTTTGAACTATAAAATTAACTTAACATGAAATCTGTTTTTAAAGGTTTTGAGATAATTTCAATTAAAATGACTTTTTAAATTTTAAATAATTTTGCTCTTTTTGAGATCCTAAATAATTTACTTCTGAAGAAATTTTTTTGTGATAATATTATGGCCGATGGTGCAGTTCCTCAAAGTATTTTTGAAATGTCATTTTGTTATGAAGAACACTTAAAAGATGTCAAATAAAAGAGTTATTTTTTGAACAACCCTTATAACGTACCCAGATTTATATGGCTGTCTTATAAAGGCCTACCTTTTGTTGGTTAACCTTTAAAATAGACACACGTTGTCAATGAAAAATATAAAAATATATTGTTGTATTATATTTTGCAGAGTATAAAAAATTGGTTAAATGGAGAAAATTTTGTTTAGAAATTTTTATTGTAAACAATCGTAATTTTGAAATTGTATTTTATGTTGTAAAGTTTATAATACCAACTTCATGGTAAACTGATTTTTATGTCTAAATTTTAATGTAAAGATGTCAAATAGGATAATTTCTAATAATAAATTGAAAAATTATTTGTTTTTTTTTGTGTGCGTTATATTACGACTATGTTTTTTACATTTTGATTCTAGTAGTAAAAAAGAAATCAATCATAGGATAATGGAAAATAGCTGTAATTTGATTTATAAGTTTATAAATGTAAGTTTTCTAATATTTTTCAAAAAAATATTTTAAATTTTTTAAAATATTTTTCAAAAAAAAATTAAAATTTTTTTTTAATATTTATTTTTTAGAAAATTTGTATAGCTGTCTTCAAAAGACCTCTCTTTTTTGGGTAACCTTTAAAATAGACACCACGTTGTAAATGAAAATAGAGAAATATATTGTTGTATTATATTCTGCAGAGTATGAAAAATTGTTTAAATGGAGAAAAACTGTTATCCTAACGTTTTAAAAAAGGTTTTTTATTATTTAAATACAACTTATCCTGAATTTAATGATTTAAATACAACTTATCCTGAATTTTTAACATTGAAAGAGTCTTAGGTATTTTATTTTGGATCATTGCAAAACTTACATTTATAAACTTAAAAATAAAGTTATAGCTATTTTTATAATAATCAATAGGCGTTTTACTCTTAGAAGCATTCTAATGCAATTATAATTTTGAAGCTTTATTATTTTTTTAACATAATGTTCTAAATTCAAAACATGTTTCACAAAATATGTTTTGTTTACTATTAAACGTGTTTTATTTGTTGCATAACATGTTTTGTTATTAGATACTTACACTTATCAACAAAGTTTTTTTTCAGCTGATATAATTATGTCTCTCTAGTTAATTCGAGCATGCTGAATCCAAAAATCACATTATTTTTAATCCTATATATCCGATTTCTAGGAATATTCGAAAAGCACTTTTAGTGTAAATGTTGCTTTTCGTATAAAGAAATATGAAACATGACATGAATAAAATATAGTTATAAGTGTTTATAAATGGTGAGTGAACTTGGATTTTAGTTTATGAGTCTTTTGAGTGTCTCTTTTTAAAAACCAACAATTATAGGCCATTATAGCTTCATTCCATTTGTCTTGATACATCTTTTTCATGGTCCGAATCTCCAGATGAAACCTTTTAACCATGTTCGCCTAAAATTTCTGGGAAAAAGTCGAGATGAGAATCCAAGAAATGTACCTTTAACGATATTCAACAACCCAGTTCTTGATAATGCTTCACAAGACCAGATTCTTGAAATCATCTGCCCTCTTGTTTCCCAGGAAGTTATGAACCACGGCTTTAAATGACTGTCAAGCATTGGGTTCAGCTGGTGTAAGAGTTTCCTCAAATTTCCTATCTTTTAGAAGCTCTCTTCTTTGAGGCCCATCAAACATGCCTTCTTTAATCTTTGCCTCAAAAATTATTCGAGAGAACTTTGTTTGGAGGTACTTAAAAACATCACCGTTTTTATTCATTGCGAATCATACGAATGGCAAATGGGTGCCAGTTGATCTTTTTCCATCCAGCTATTTAGTCAAACACATGTAGCAGTTGGTGCAACTATACTGAGGTGCTTTTTTTGCCATGATTTCCCACCTTGAATCTATAATATAGAAGTCGTCAGCAGTAAGGACTTTTAAATTTATTTTTCTCTTCTGTCATTTAGTGACAAATGACCGCAAGTGTAACAGAAACTGTTTGAACTATTTCCACAAGATCGTCTGGAGATTACAGACATTCTGCAATAAAATACAGATAGGATCTTATTTTTTTACTGTAATTTGAATATAAATATAAACTTACATTAACGCAATTTAAAAAAGGAATTTTTGAAATTGAAAGTGTGCGAAGACTATAGTTTAAAACTAAGATAAAAAAAAAAAAATTTAAAATTTCAGAAGAATCTGAACGTGTAGGAGAAAAATAAATTCATTTTCCTAATCAGCTCAAAAATCTGATCTAGAAAAACATATTGCTGTTGATTGAATCTAAAAAAAGTTTTTTTTTGAGCCCAGTGTTATTTGGTACTGGAATTTATTTCCGTAATTTTATTCCTAAATTTTCTTTTTTTTAATTTTATTTTTTTGTAATTTTAATTATTATCATAATTAAAATTACAAAAATAATTAAAAGTATAAAAAAAAACAAATATACAAATATATATAATAAATACGTTAGGTTTTGTGCTTTGCTTTTTAATTAGGCAAACTCGGTTGAAATGCTTAGTTCCACAAAATTTTCTTTTTTAATTGAATTCATTTTATTTGAATTTAAGTTACTTTCACTTCGGTAAAGAAATATAAGCAGATATTTAGAAATAAATAAAAAAACGTGTTTTGTATGACCTAAGGTACTTGTACCACTAACCTGCGCTTTTACACGAAGCTTTAGATTTATCAAAATTAGGTGTCGGTAAACTTCTGATATTCATGTCTATTGAACAATATTAGCTTGATAGTTGTATAAGCTTATAAATACTTTTATTAGATATATAAACATTTAAATATTTGTAACAATTTTTTTTTTTTTTGCAAAAGCATTTACATTAGTGATTCACTAAAGCTTTAATTTTTTTAATGCCAAATCAGGGCCGTCTACATTTTTTCTAAAATATCCTTTTTTTTTTTTTTTTAAATTGACAATTGTGTCCCGCCACCCCGTGTCGCCGACCTTGCAAATAATAAAAGAATAAATAAAATTAAAAAAAGTTATTTGAAGAAAAACGATTCGTTAAATAAAATTGATTGAATGACATTTGGTTTTCGCAATTGAATGATGGGACTCGAGAAGTGTATTTTAAATTTACAATAACATCTTAAGTCAAAATTATTATCGCTAAATATTTAAAATCACGATTGCTGTGGTAGTATATTCCATCCGACGAAATATTCCATCCTTTTGCGCAAAACTCAAAACGAGGATGTGTTTTTAAGTTATAGCCATTAGAATTGTTCCGAAAATAGTTAATAGTATAATGTTTTGATTTGAATATTACATCCACCACATTACTATATCACTTCTTTAATATTAAAAATAAATTGCTACATATATTAATCGTATTTCTGGTAATACTATATATGTGACCTTAAAAATAATTTATTTACTTTTATAAATAGTGTTAAGCTAAATCTGTGTTTCGTTTCATTTCGGACTCAGAAGGAACATTTCTAACAACTATAATTTAAATACACATCCTCGTTTTGAGTTTTGCGCAAAATGATGGAATATTTCGTCGGATGGAATATACTACCACATTGCACCACAAAGCTGACTCGATCAACGATTGACGACATATTAAACGTATGCGAAATGCATTAACAAAGTAAACTTTATTTTCGAATCAATTAAATGTTATTTTGTATATTAATGTGACGCATAATGAAACAGATAAAATTGTATTAACGTTTTCTATTCTAATAAATCTAAGAATGCATAAAAGTTTAATACAAATAATTACGAGGTTAACTACAAAAATTTACATCTCACGTTCAGTTTTCTATTTTTAAAATTTTTACTTCGTTTGTATCGGGTTTTGTTTTGTCCAATCGTGACTTTACTCACTAAAAGATGTTAGCTTAAAAATATTTAATTTGCGTCTATCAGTTTATATGGTCAAAGTAAAGTAGCATTAAAAAATTTTTTTAAAATTTTTTCTTTCTTTAACTTTATAGGATGTTTGAAACAGTTATTTCAAACTATTTAATTCTAAATAAAAATAGACTTGAATTCATTAATTGAATAATTAACTAACTAATAATTAACTAATGTAGGCATCTTAACGTAGCAGATCCCCAAAAAAATCAAAAAAACTAAAAAAATTTTATTTTAGTTAATTTTAATGATAAATTTAACTGAGATAAAAACGTAAAAACGGTTTGTGTAAAAACGGTTTGTTGAAAACTAGTTTAGTTTTTTAAATAATCATAGATTAGTGCACTATAGTTTTTCAATCTTCCCTAGCAACTACCATAGTAACGGATTTGTTTATTGGTTTTTTAGCATTATAGTCAGGTTTCGGGAAAAAACTTCGCTCTAAAAGCGAAGCTTTTCACAGCAGGTATCAACAATAAAATTTCTTCTGCTGATACCTTATACCAAATAAAGTTAGTAAAAGTTATAAAAAAAAGGTTTGTTGACAAAAAAAAATGAAGAAGGAGCATCATATTTTACTAGTGACTTTTAGAATTATAACAAATATATGACTTTTTTTATTACGTAATCTTTATAAGCGTTTTTCTCGCGTTTTATCTTTTAAATACTTTGCAACACATACGACACGTTTTCTCAACTTCTAATAAAGATTTTGATTTGAAATTTTTAGGAAATGTTCCTTGTTGTGATGTCTCGGGTTCGTACCTCAATGAAAGTTCAATTTTTATTTCAAGTATATACAGACGCGGACTGGCCCACCGGGAAACCGGGAAATTTCCCGGTGCGCCCCACAATTCTTGGCGTCCCCCTCCCCAGCAAAATCATAAACTGTATATCTCCATAATACCACATGTTACATATAATTAATAACTATAAAACCATTTAGTGTTATCGCTTTAAGTGCGAATTCATGATCCACAATTGAAGCATCATTTATATCAGGGGCGAATTCAGATATATTTTAGGGGAGGACAGAAAAATATTTTTTGACTTTTTAACAAATACTCACGTGAATTAATTTTTCTCATGCTGTTTTCTTTACTAAATGATAGTTTAAACTAGACCCAAAAGAAACTTTATTTTGTCCAAAATTAAAATTTGAAAAAAGTGATTAGGAAGTCTGAGTTAGGACCCCCCACCCTAAACCCGCCCCTGATTTATATCACAAACTTAATAACAAATTGATTTGATACTTCTTATTTTTGATTCCAAAAGTTTTTTTGCTTTTTAAAAATAAGCTTAAAAATTCTTAGATAATTATTTAGAGTAAATATAATAAAAAGTATAACTATTCTCAAAAAGATGCTGAGTCAGCAAAAAATATGCAATTTTAACTACATTTTTTTTTAACTACATAACAGAAAGTTAGTTCTGCAAAACATGTCAAAATGCAATCTAAAATTAACTTTAAAAAAGACTAAAATT